CCTGTTGGTAGTAAGCAAGTGTTAAACACCGATGTGATGAGATGTGTCACACTAGAAACTATTAACAGACACATAGAGAGTATTAAATCAAGTGAATGTTATGCTTTTACTGATGGTTCTGTGCAGACAAACACAGGTAGAACAGGCTGTGCAATTGCAATATATAGAGAATAAGAGATGATAGTGTCAAACAAGCAGAGGCTGAAAAACTGAGCCAGCACAACACAAACTAAACTAACTGGAATCTGCTTAGCCAAAGACTACCTTAAAGAATGGAGTTGGGGTGATATTCTGTGACTCTCAAAGTGCTTTGAAATCAATGAACAGCCCGTTAGGTTCTATGTCTAAAGTTGTTTGTGATATTAAAAGAAATGTGATAACTGCCAATGAAAACAACTGTCGTATCGAATTTGTGTGGATTCCGTCCCATGTTGGAATTATCATGACCGTGATGATAGACTGGCCAATGAGGCATGTAAGAAAGAAAATGTTGACCGTGACCTTGGCCTGTCCAATGCTGTACTTAAAAACTTTGAAGTCACTATCATGAACTCTGATCTAGAAGAACTGAGAAATGCAGAGAGACCTGGCAGTTGTGGCATTAGTAAATATGACAAATTTTGTGACGAGAGGTACCGGTATGGCCAGCATAAGGACAGAACCAGACAATGTGATGTAGTCGTGGCCAGAATTAGGCTAGGATACAGACACATGTGGCAAGTTAGTAACGCTGCACCCATACCGGAACACTCAGCATGTAAACTTTGTGATAAACCTTTAAAGCATACACTTGAACACTATATTATTGAATGTGACACTGTCAAAGACTTCAGGTCACCTGGCTTATTGTATCATGAACTTTGTAATCACTATATCGAATTAGGGGTGCTTGGGGACATTCTTGCTGTTTATCCCAAATTTGCTAGCCCACACTGATTAGTCGTCATTTAGAATATGACGTCCAATGTTTATGGACCTGTAGTGGAATTCTTCCCTACAAACGCTGTTTGTCGCTGAGTAGTCGACCCCACCAATTCCCCAGTGTATGCCTCGTGGTCTGGGTCAACCAGCGCCGCCATACATCACGGAGCGGGGGTCAACTACTAAGCCACGCCTACCCCCGCTATTTAAGACCTGACCTCGTGGTGACCTGCCTCTTTCTACTTACATCCGCAGCCAGCAACACCTCCTCCTCCGCCGCTGCCTGGCGGCCCTTGCTCCTCCTCCGCCTGTCTGGCAGTCCTCTCTCCCGCTGGCGAGCATGGCGACCCACAAGCTGTCCTTCTCTGAGCGTCCTCACCAACCAGCTCTCTCTACATCACGCTTGTAACCATGCTGCCTTCCCAGCACAAAGCTGCATTGTACATCCAAAACAACATGTATATAGAGAGCACATTGTGAGTTTCCTTTCTCCATTCCATCCTGAGTGTGAACTAAAAATCTCATACCCCACAGACCATTGTCTTGCATGGCAGCGAACAGTGACACCACCCACATGACTCTGACCTATATATACTGCGAATGAATATGATGCATTTCTTTATGTACGAACCTCTGTCCTGCATGACAGTGAACAGTGACATTACCCACATGACTCTGACCTATATATATACTGTCAATGAATATGATGTATTTCTTTGTGAACGAACCTCTGTCCTGCATGGCAGTGAACAGTGACATCACCCACATGAATCTGATCTATGTATATATGTGTAGGTATGTGTATGTGTATGCATATATATATATATATATATATATATATATATATATATATATATATATATATATATATATATATATATATATATATATATATATATATATATATATATATAATGGCTGGATTAAGGGCCAATTGATGCCCTAAGCATAGCCCAACAACGGTGCCCCCTCG